AAAGGGAGATCTGGAGGGACTGAAAGAGTACCGGAGCGGGGTCCTGACAGAACCGAGAACAATTCGGGCAGCTCGTGATACTCAATGATGAGCCAGCCACACACCCACCCCAGGACCCTGGGCTTGTCCCGAACCCAGAATCTGAATCCCCCACACAGACAAACTTACAGACTTCGAGGCAAGGGCCAAAACGAAAAAGCCTAACCACCGTGGGAAAGAGGTATTTGCACACTGAGAAAGTGTGGGCTAGGAACGTTAAGGTCAGCAGTTCGAAACCACCAGCTGCTCTGCAGGAGAAATAGGAGGATCCCTTAAAGAGTTACCGTCAAAAGAAAAAGAAAAAAAGTTACCTTCTTAGAAATACAGGGGCAGTTCTACCCTACCCTAGAGCGTCAGGTCACTATGATTTGGAATTGACTGGATGGCAGTGAGTGGGTTTGGGTTTTTTGAGACCAAAAAAAGACACAGAGGATCAAATAGTTGCTGCACAGCTCCTGGGGATCCAGCACTGAAAAAATATTTATACCCTTTATATATTTATGAAGGTTACATTCTAAATGTGGTGCCTGAATTACATAATATGCTTAGCAGTGCCTTAATTATTTACTAATATAGCTCCTCTAGCGGTAGTCATCCATTCTGTGATGTATTGTAAAATCTAGTTCACCCCAAGGTTCAAACCTACCATCTGCTCCATGGAAGAAAACAATGGCTGCCATCTTGGAAGCACCATGAATTGGAATCTCTTTGATGGCAGTGGGTTTTAGATGCCTGTGGCTATGGTCTCATTTGGGAATGGATTGGTGATGATGGGGCAGGATTGGGGTGAGGTAGTATGTTGAGTTACTGCCTTACTAGAAGGTGTAACTCAAGTCACCACCTTTAGTTTCCTTGTTGGAGGTAGGAGGGTCTGTGCATATCATATATAAGAAAGTTCTCTCTCGATGTACACTGGTATAGATAGGAACTGGAAACACAGGCAATCCAGGGCGGATGAGCCCTACAGGACCAGTGGTGTGAGTGGTGATACTGGGAGGGTAGAGGGAGAGTGGGTTGGAAAGAGGGAACCGATTACAAGGAACTATATGTGACCTCCTCCTTGGGGGATGGACAACCAAAAAGTGGGTGAAGGGAGACGTCAGACAGGGCAAGATATGACAAAATAACAATTTGTAAATTATCAAGGGCTCATGAGGGAGGAGGGAGCGGGGAGGGAAGGGAAAAATGAGGACCTAATACCGGGGGCTTAAGTGGAGAGCAGGTGTTTTGAGAATGATGAGGGCAATGAATGTACAAATGCACTTTGCACAATTGATGTATGTATGGATTATGGTAAGAGTTGTATGAGCCCCTAATAAAATGATTTTAAAAAAAAGAAAATTCTCTCATGCTCTGAATCCTACATCTAGCTCATCTTCATCTGACCACTAGTTCCTGGGACATGAACCAGCAGCCCATTATCTGACCTGATTTGCCAATTTCCATCGTTCTATGAACTGATAGCCTGTCCTCTGACCTGCCCTTTGCCCCTATAGCCACATGGATCCCATTCTTCCCAGTTTAGTCATGGCCAATAAAACAGAACTAAAATAGACCTGAATTTGTAGAATGTAGGTGTACCAGAATGACTATCAAAAACTGGAACATGATGCATGTTGCATAGCAACCAAATCCCTTGACCCAGAGAGCCAGAAACAATGGTGCCCACCCGCAAGATGACAAGCAGCCAGTTACTTTGCATGTGTGTTACTCTCCAAGGTCCTGGCAACAATCCACCCTCCCACATCAGGTCCCTGAAAGGGTTACTACCTCTCTTTTGAGTCTCCCATTCTCAGGCTCAGAACCATCCGTTTTCCCATTCCAGACATTCGAGTATAATCCTATTTGATAAATCCAGTTTTGTTCTAATTTTGCGGCACTGGTCACGACGGAACTAGTTGGAATCATTTTGAGGCCCTTGTCCTTTGCTGACTGATGAGGAGCTTCTCCATCCTCCCTTGGTCCAGATGTAGTTGATTTGATCTCTGTGCATTCTCTCTGGTGAAGTTCACATATGTAGTCACCATTTATGACTTAAAAGTTATTTGCAATGAATGGTAGCAAAATTCGATTGTGTGAGAGGGCTTTAAAAAGTGAATGGGAAAATGGGATTAAAAAATAATGGAATTTTTCCATGAACTTTTTAAGCCCCCTTGTATATACCTTGACTCTTAAAGATTATATTTGTATGCATTGCCTTTAATTGATTTGCTTGGTCATCTTTTGGAGGAAACCTGTAGTTGGAATTTCTACTATCTCCACTTCTATTATCTTCTTTCTTAAAGAATTTGATAACTTTGTTTTGTATTCTTGAAAACGACCTCAAGTTTGTCTCTTCTTGATTTGTATGTCTCCATTGCCAAGTCTGGCTTTTACTGCTGTGACTATTGTTTACTTATTTATTCACTTTATTATTGTGGCTTGGAGTTCACAGTTCTATTTCTGTTGGCTTATTCTTCAGAAGACTCAATGTTCTCTTTTAATTAAGGATAGAAGTATTTTCTAAAATTGGGTTCTGTTTCATGGACTACCAGGGAGAAATGTTTGGCTTTCGCTGATGATTCTTTTTCAAATGCGACAGTCTTTCCCACAGGATTCAGACATTATTTACTCAAATTTTGAGATGGACTAGCTGACTTTTGTGGATATGCAAGACTGGAGTTTCTTGCGTTTAGATTGCATGTTGGACAATTGGGGTGTCAAGTCTGCTGCCCTTATTCTCCTTCCAGAAATGACATGGGAAGTGACTCATGGGATCATCTTCTGCCTCGTTGGACTAGTTATTCCTGACATCCACCTGCCTCAATATTTAATTTTTTAATTTTCTATCTCTGGTGTTTATGAAAAGAGCCTTGGCGATGTAGTAGTTACATGTTGGGCTGCTAACCATGAGACCAGCAGTTCAAAACCACCAGCTTCTCTGCAGAAGAAACATGAGGCTCTCAAGTCCTGTAGAGAGTTACAGTCTTAGAAACTCACAGAGACAGTTCTACTGTCACCATGAGTTGGAATCGACTGGATGACAGTGAGTTGAGTTTGGTTTGGTGTTTATTTGGGGGCTACAGCATGTCTGTCTGTCTGTCTTAGTTTCTAGAAGTGTTGAGATTTTACTGTTAGCATGTCCATTTGTATTTCAGAATGTTCTATGTCCACACAGTTCCTATCAGATATAATTCTGGACCTCAGTCTCTTATCCTTGGGAATCTTGAGCAGCTCCATGGCACGCCAAGCATAGGGCAGGAAGCAAACACCCACCTCTCAGATCACAGATTCCGTCCCCTGAGAAGTTGGTGTGTTTTGCGAGACATCCACGACAGTGATTAGGCCTCGGCTTGCTCACATTCTTCATCACCTTGAGGCCCCGTTGAGGCCCATGGCCATAGGGTAGTCCATAGCCATGGGTGGTACTCTTCCACGGCTGCTGGGGTGGAAGGGATTAGCCTGGCTCTTAAACACCGAATAGATAACATGACTGGAAGAAATAATGAAATTAAAGAGTTAAGCAGAAGATCTCAAGACAAAGATGCAAAGACCTGGAGTTAGAAAATCAAAAGGGAAGAACATATGTGCATTTCTCAAGCTGAAAGAACCAAAAAAAAAAAAACAGTCAAGCCTCCCATTAAAAGATTCTACGGGCACAATATTGAATGACGCTGGAAGTATCAAAGGAAGATGGAAGGCATACAGTGAGTCACTGGTCCAAAAAGAATTGATTGACGCTTTAGCATGTGATCAAGAAAGAAGTCCAAGATGCACTGACAGCCTTGGTGAAAACCAAGACTTCAGGAATTTATAGGATATCCATTGAGATATTTCACCACAGAGGTGCCACACTAGAAACACTCGCTCAACTACACCAAGAAATTTGTAAGACAACTACTTGACCACCCAATTGGAAGAGATCCAAATAAGTGCCTAGTCCAAAGAAAGATAATTCAACAGAAGGCGGACATTATCAAACAATAAATATCATTAACCACTTGAAGGAAAAATTTGCTGAAGAGGAGTCAAAATAGTTGAGAATGCTATGAACATGATGATGGCAGCATATGTGCAGATGTGCTTGACATACTCAGTGAATGTATGGATTGTGATAAGAGATGTCAGAGGCCCCAATAAAAGTATTTTAAAAAATAGTTACAGCGACCATCAACCAGGAACTGCCGGAAATGCAAGCCACATTTCAGAAGTATTCCTGCCGATGTCAGATGGAGCTTGACTTTTCAAGAGAATACCAGACATACTCAGTGAATGTATGGATGGTGGTCAGAGATGTCAGAGCCCCCAATAAAAGTATTTAAAAAAATAGTTACAGCGACCATCAACCAGGAACTGCCGGAAATGCAAGCCACATTTCAGAAGTATTCCTGCCGATGTCAGATGGATCTTGACTTTTCAAGAGAATACCAGAACTACGTTTGCCTGTGTTTTACTAACTGCAGAAAGGCATTGGAGTATCCTAATGAATTATGGGCAATCTTGTGAAGAATGGGAATTCCAGGACACGTTGCTGTGCTCAGGAAAAACCTGTACATAGACTAAGAGGCAGCCATTCTACCATAAAATTGGATGTTGCATGGCGTAAAATCAGAAAAGGTACTTGCCAGGATTGGATCTTTTTGCCACATTCAGTCGGTATGCTGGGGAAGCAATCTGAGAAGCTGGCCTCTATGAAGAAGAACGCAACATCAGGATTGGAGAAATATTCATTAAACACATACAATATGCAAATCACACAACTTTGCTTGCTGAAAAGAAAGGAACACTTCCTGATGAAGATTAAAGATCACAGCCTGCAGAATGGACTACACCTCAACATACACAGATTCAAAAAACAAGCCAACCCATTGCCATCTATTCAATTCTGACTCATAGGGACCTGGTAGGACCGAATAGAACTACTCCTTTGAGTTTCTGAGGCTCTAAATCTTTATGGGAACACTGGGAACCACTGGTGGAATCAAACCACCGAAGTTGCAATCAGCAGCCCAACTCATTACCCACTACATCACAAGGACTCCCACACCCCAACATAAAACACTTCTCACAACTGGACCAATGAACAACATCAGGATAACAGAAAAAGGATTGATGTTGTGTAGGATTTCATTTGACTTGGATCTTTCAATGCCCAGGCAAGCAACAGTCAAGAAATCAAACAACACATTGCACTGGGAAAGTCTGCTGCTAAAGACCTCTTTAAAGTGTGAAGAAGCACAAGGATCACTTTGAGGATGGAGGTACACTGAAGCCAAGCTGGACAATGAATAAAGAAGAAAGATGAAGAATTCATGCATGTCAGTTGTGCTGTTGGAGAGGAAATATCTTGGGAGAAATACAACTAGTTCACTCCTTGGAAGCAAGGATGGTAACACTTCCTCTCACATGCTTTGAGCAGTCTCTGGGGAAGGACATAATACTTGGGAAAGCAGAAGATCAGAGGAAAGGAGGAAGGTCCTCAAGGCGATGGATTGATATGGTGGCTGCAATAATGGGCTCAAACATAGCTGTGATGGTGAGGGTGGCCCAGGTCTCAGCAGTATTTTGTTCTATTGTACACAGAGCCACTGTGAGTTGGAGCCAGCTTGATGGCATGTCACAACAATACAATCTATAATCGAATCACTGAGAAGTTCTGAGGTAGACATGGAAAGGATGTGGGTTCACAGGCATTCAGAACCATTAACAAACAGAAACCAACTCCAATACAATATGGAAACATCCTTAAATTCCAGGGATACAGAATAAACACTTAACAGTATCCAATCAGAAAAAGAGTTATACCAGCCTGTGTGATCGTGAGGTGTCGATGAGATCAGGTTATCAAGTATTTAAGACCCAGAACAAAATCATACCAATGTGAATGGGGCCAGAGGATGCGGAGTGGAGACCCAAAGCCCATCTGTAGACAATTGGACACCCCCTTACAGAAGGGTCACAAGGAAGAGACGAGCCACTCAGGGTGCAGTATAGCACCGATGAAACATACAGCTTTC